ATATATATATATATATATGTGCAGGGCCTACAGTGAGCACAGTGACTTTTTAAACATTATTTATGTGACCTGTGACAGGGCTGGTTATAGGGCTTGAGAGAAGGGGAGACAGGCAGCTCTGGGGGAAAAAAAAAACCCAGAGCTGCTGAGGCAGGGCAGCTATAAATCAATTAAAGGCCAGGTGAGCTGGTGTCAGGCTGCCTCTGGACCTCTTTAAAAACCTTCCCTGTGTGGGAAGGTAGAGGAAAAGGAGTTTGGAGAGTGGATGTTTACTGGAACTAACAATTAGGAGAATGGAAGGAGCTGAGCAGAACATCAGCACCGCCAAAGCGGTAAGGGGCTCTGACAGGGTGTGTTTGGAGGTTTCCTTCCTCCTAGGTGTCCAGAAACATCAGCCAGTGGCTGAGGAGGACCGTTTACTCAGCCCCTACTAGCCAGGAGCATCGGCCCCAACACCCTTTGTTTTGCCAAGGGACAGAAGGCCAAACACTGAGAAGAGTCAAGTGGAACTTGAAGTGTGGGATAGTGGGTAGAACAGGGGCCTGGGACCCAGGAGTGGGACTGACCCTGCCACAGTGCATACAACTCAATGGATATATTAAATTCTTATATGTAAATTTCAAATGATTCGTGTTTCCACACACAATAAGTTTGAATCATTTTTAATGTGGCTTGATTCCTGGGAATAATTTTCTTCAGTTAAATGAGGGGCCCACTGACTTGAATGGTGTTATGACAGTGAAATGAGGAGTAATGGTAGTTCGGACTAGGAAGCCTAGTCCAAACTACATAGTCCGTGCCGCGTGTAGCAGCGCAGCACGGAGTCCGCACTAGCGGATATTTAAAAATGGCGGCGCCCGGCTTTATGCAAATGAAGCCCAGGAAATTCAAATCCCGGGCTTCATTTGCAACTCCGGTTGCCTACATTACCACCCTAGTTCGAACTAGGGTGGTAGTGTAGACATACCCCTAGATACTGTGGCCCTGACTGATTGTATCATTTGAACTGGGAAGGTATTTTTTCCATTTGGGCCAAAATGGTAGGATATCAAAAGTGGGAGGGTCACTTTCCTGGCAGCATCTTAAAAGACCTGTTTTTAAGAGAAAAGGAACAAGGATACAAATTTTTAAGGTTAGGAAGTGATAAAGGAATATTTAAGTCTCAGATGGAGTTTGTAACTTTAAAAACAATGTGTAGTCCTGTGGCACCTTGGGTCTAACACAAATAAAGGTTAAATGGCAGTACCAGAAGGCACAAAAGAACATTATAGTAACATAAGAATGGCTATACTGGGTCAGACCAAAGGTCCATCTATCCCAGAAACCTGTCTTCAGACAGTGGCCAATGCCAAATGCCTCAGAGGGAATGAATAAAACAGATAAACATCAAATGGTCCCTCCTCTGTTACCCATTTCCAAATTCTGACAGAAGCTAGGGACATCATTCCTACCCATCCTGGCCAACATAAAGCAAATACGAGTAAAAGGTCCAGGATATAACTAGTTATCTTTTTTGTATATATGGAGAAAGTAATACTACATTTTCGGAGACTGAAGTAACTCTAATTCCCCTTTGAATATGTGTAGGGTGGGAGAAAATTCAGAGGTGGGCTGAGTTGTGGAGTTAGGCTAAAGCAAATCACCTCTGAATTTTAGATTAGCTGGGGTGAGGCTATTTTGCACCATGATGAGCAAAGTTAAATGCTTGGTATGGATATTTCCCCTTACAGCCCCAATACTTAAGGCCTGCCACTTACTAGCCATCTCTCTACCTATTTTTTATTCACCCAGGTGTCCTGATCAGTAAGCAATCTTTAATACCCAAGGAGTTGTCCCCAATTATTTCATTCTCTTGTTCAGAACTGAGCACAAGGAATGGAATTGCTGATCATTTTGTACCAGGAGTTAGAATTTCTGGTTGCAAACTAATGAGTTCTCATTTGCGGTTAGCGACAGGAAACCTCAACTCCTGGGACTGAAATATTAATATTCGTATACTGTTTTATATGAATACTTTACAGTCTGTATTTGGGGTGTTTAAACCCTTCTTAAAGTATTTTGTGTTAAGTTCAGTGGTTTGTGCCAACTCCTTTGTGCCACTTCGGTGACACAGAGCAGCTGGATGCCAGACTTAACAGTCAAGTAAGCTAAGTTTACAGCTGTTTTGCATCCCTAAAGCAATGCAAAGCAGCCAGAGGGTACTGTTGGTAAATACAGACCTTTGCTTTTAGGATGCAAAATGTTGCATACTACAGTACAATAATCACCATAAGAACAGCCATAATGGGTCAGACCAAAAGTCCATCTCGCCCAGTGTCCTGACTTCCAACAGTGGCCAATGTCAGGTGGCCCAAAGGGAGTGAAGAGAACAGATAATCATCATGTGATTCCTCTCCTGTCATCCATTTCCAGCCTCTGACAAACAGAGGCTAGGGACACCATTCCTACTCATCCTGGCTAATAGCCATTGATGCACCTAACCTCCATGGGTTTATCTAGTTCTTTTTTGAATCCTGTTGAAATCCTGGTCTTCACAAATCCTTTGGCAAGGAGTTCACGGCACAGGTTGACTGTGCGCTGCATGATGAAAAACTTCCTTTTGTTTGTTTTAAACCTGCAACCTATTAATTTCATTTGGCGACCCCTCGTTCTTATGTTATAGGAACAAATAAATAACTTTTCCTTATTCACTTTTTCCAAACTAGTCATGATTTTATAGACCTCTATCGTATCCTCTCTTAGTTTCCTCTTTTCTAAACTGAAAAGTCCAAGTCTTTTTAATCTCTCTCCATATGGGACCTGTTCCAAACTGCTAATCATTTTTGTTTCCCTTTTTTAAATCTTTTCCAATGCCAATATATCTTTTTTT